CCTGCAGAAATCACAGATAACATAAATGGAATTCTTCACATAAGCACGAAATCTCAAACCTTCTCTAGATTCGTGTGTGTAACTTGAAAAGTTCGGACCTGTCTAGTCGCTGCAACAGTGTCCGCAGAGTTTGCCTAATACATGTGAAGGCTGAGTGATCTGCAGAGACTTGAAGATGAGCTGTTATATTACCCGTTCCACCTGTCAAATTTGAGTCCTCAAGGAGCATCAGTCGAACGGCACACCTGGGCGGTCATAGCGGTGGGTAAGGACGTTCACAACACCCAAGTTGATCTGGATAATTTTGATTTCCTATCCATCTCGTTGTAATAGAATCGTTGTCGTTTTAACTAAGTCATGGAACGATCGATTGGGGAGGGTAAAAGTACAATAACAGAATATCATAAAATATGTTCGGCATCAGTCCTGAGCGATTCTGAACTCCAAGAGCATCGTCCCTACAAGATCATACGTTTGGGTGAGCACTAGATCAGCACTGGCCCTGCAAATTATAACAAATCAAACATCGTCAATGTGTCCAGGCATGGAAGGAACTTGCCCAATGTCCTTGAATTCCTTCAAGGTTCGCTCCTTGCCATTGAAAAGTAACCACATCAGCATGTCCGACTGGTATGTTGTGTGACTACCGAAGTTCAGTAATGTAGGTTCGGGCGCCTTATGATCCTGAATGTATGATTACATCTTAGCCATCAAGCTCCACTCTAAACTTACCGCACTAGACTCGTTAGCCCCTAGGTCAGGCCCTTCGAATCCGCGCGAGAGCACGCACTCATCTATCACATGACATTGATTCAAATTCAATCCACACTTTAAAATGCAGCCGACTCACGAATCAACACTCGGCTGTTTGGTCCCATTGCTTTGCGAACATTACGGAGAATCACCTTTGACTCCTCGTCCGGCCAGTCATGAATGATGCTCCTCAACTTGGTCGATTAATGAGCAGTCCGCATTGAATAAGAACAAACTTAGCACTTACGTAGTAAACATCCTTTCCGACGACAGGCAACTCCTCCAAGAAATTCAGTGGCACGAACTCTACACGCCCGTCGAGCAGTAACTCAGGAAACTTCGTCTCCCATGTCTGATCAAATATAAATATAACTTGTCTGTTGTGGATGTCCGGACTCACATTTCTGGACAGCCTTATAGTCTCTGGGAGATCCTGATTGATTATTCTGAGATGAGGGAACATTTTCGCCAGGGGAATAGACATTGCTCCGGTTCCAGATCCAATATCCACCACAGAGGACACATTGTCCCAAGGGTAATCTTATGGCCCGCTTCAGTCATGCTGACAGTTGAAAAAATGGTGATCACTCACGATGCAGCACCGCAGACGAGTCCTGCATCTCAGAATAGCCCATCATGGCTTTGTGAAATATCTGTGTATAAGATTCTGTGAGCCGTCAGTCAGTCATGAGACAATGGATCCGCACGCACATCGCGTGCCTCACCCTGCACAATATGGTAAGACATGAAATGCCAGTATGATGACTAAAACTCACATCCATCTCCCAGAAGCTGTTGTTTTTGCCTTCCTTTGCGAGAGCAAATGCTCGTGGGGCTCTTTCAAGCTTGTCCGACCTTGCAAACTCTTGGTCGACCATAGTCTCATAGAGAACCGCAGCATATTTTGGGTATTCTCGCTGAAATTTTATCCAAAACCCGACGTTGTTTGTTGCCTTGAGCACGAGGGAGAGTCGCGTGTTTGCGAATACGTCTCGCTTAACTATGGAACACCAAAGGCCTTAGAGAGAATTATTAACTGACAGTACTATGCATATTACCTTCTTTGAAGCAACCCCTGAGGGCCAAAACGCGCAACACGCGTGCGATCTTGGTCTTATCGAGGTTGGCTGCGTCAGCCAACACATCCAAGCTGAGACCGTCCGGATGTTTGTCCAAGACGTCTGCAATATGTGATTCCACAGCGACGTCTATGCATGCCCAATTGTAATTATGAACAAACTAGGAAAATGAGCAACGAGGCATACAGGGCCATCTATAATCGGCACTTACATTATTCACTGTGCGTTGGGGGGGAGCCAGTATTGTGTTCAATTGCTCGCATGCACCTTCGAGCAGCCTGATTGCCTTTCTGAGGGCAAGTGTATCTGTCGCAAAGTCGAGGGGGTGGAAGGTGCCTGCATCGATACCAGGGACTCCATGTCCAGTGTTTTTGTATTCCGCCATTGCTTTGCGGGCAGAGGAGTTGATGATGTCCAAGAGGGCTTCAACCTTGAGTTCATTTGGCTCTGTCATTTTTGGGAGTGTGCATGATTCCTCATCAGCCGTTCAGGTTTTATATCCCTCGACCAAATATCATCTAGCTGGATTCCACGGCAAAGACATTCAACATTGGGTATGTGGAAAAAGATCGAAGCTAAACATAGTCTGACCACTCACAAAACCTAACTTCTGACTCGGATAACACTGGTTGTTACTCGCGTAACGGTATCAGATCGGTAAGAACACACGGCACACCTGAACGACTCATCCGTATCACTTGAAGGAGATACTACATAAGCCTATGATGCTGGTGGCGTTCGCAGCGTGCATACTATATTCATCAGCAAGAGGATATCATGTGAGGTGTACGTCCGTATCATCAGTCAGCTAATGTAAGCATGGCTTACGCGCGCATCATCGACACGTTATCAACATTAGGTAAATGACCTGACAAAATGTCTTAGAAAATCTCACTATATATATATATCAGAATTGTACTGTGCATGAGAAAGCTTTGAATAATACCCGGACTTATCTCCGGTTCATTGGCAGATGGCCTGACCTTATAGACATAATGTAGTCTTGCAGGTAATGTCTGCGGCCTGCGTGTCTCAACCTCGGACGACGAAGATACGCTGTCTGATATTCATGCATCAAGTTCTGCATTTATATACTAGCATTTCGCAGAAGGCAACTCAGGGCAAGCCTCGATCTCGACAATATCATCCGAGCAATCTTCTTTTTGGCGAGTGGACCACACACGACAGTCAACTTACGCATCGTCACTGATTCGAACGATAAGACTGTTCGGCTGTGGGATGTTCTCATGAAACAGCCATCGTAACAATGTTCCATGTCAAATTCTCCAGCATTCTGAGATGAAGATCGCATGATCGAGGCCACCATTGCCATGAAATCAAACACTTGGTTCGCTTCTCATCCAACTCTATCCATGCGCTATGTGACACCTATGAGATATCCTATTACGACCACAGTTTGACCCCCTTTTTCATGACCAGCGACAGCGGATGGCTGGTACTTAGGGCCCAAACATCGGCTCTTATTCTGGACACCTTCCGCTTGACAACATGCAACAGCTGGTTCAGGTTCTGCGCCCATGGTAGATATCTCCTGCATTGTCATCAAGATGAGGGAGAAACGTCGCATTAAAAGCACCACAACTCACCTCGCATTGCTGAAGAATGAGTCGGACGACCGGACCCTGCTCATGTTTGGCTCACTCTTCTATTGCACTTGATGCTGAAGTCGCAAGTCAATATGTGTTATTTTTCAGTACGGCTACTCTCAGTACTTACTCAAACATGAAGTATAGATCTTTTGCTCTTTTCTTATGCGCAGATTCTTGTTTCATGCTGCACTAGAGAAGAAAAACGTCTTTAGCTTGACAATCTCCCAAAGCATGTGTTGAAATTTTTCGAGCGTCTGCTACCTACAAATGTCTGTTCGCTGGAACTGGTCGACCGTGATACAATACAATGTCGCAAACAATGAAGAAGGCACGGGCCCGGGATTGAACCACTTGCAGAGCTGCCTCTGGGCCTGTTGCCAGCACTGGGTAGAGTAGAAAGTGCATTAGCACGTAGAGTCTCGGTATTGCAGACGAATTCTAGGACAAGAATACGATGGGTATCGTTTAGTAGGGGCAGAAGCTCTACTAGTAGGGAAACCTTCAATATCAGCTGTAAGGCCTGACTTGGTCTTAATAGATCGCGATCGATACATTAGAAGACTGTTGTCGTTGTCGTCTTGGTCAAATCATGAGATGATCAATTGGGGAGGGTAGAAGTACAATAACAGAAGATCACAGAATGTGTTCGGCATCAGTACTCAGTCCTGAGCGATTGCGAACTCCAAGAGCATCGTCCCTACAAGATCATAGGTTTGGGTGAGCACCAGACCAGCACTGGCCCTGCAAATTATAACAAATCAAACACCATCAATGTGTCCAGGCATGGAAGGAACTTGCCCAATATCCTTGAATTCCTTCAAAGTTCGCTTCTTGCCATTGTAAAGAAACCACATGATCATGCCCATCTGGTGTGGTATGTGACTACCGAAGTTCAGTAATGTAGGTTCGAGCGCCTTATGATCCTGAATGTACGATGACACCTTAGCCATCAAGCTAAACATTTAAACTTACTTTGCAGGACTCGCTAGCCCCTACGTCAGGCTCTCCGAATGCGCGCGAGAGCACGCAGTCATCTATCACATGGTATTGATTCTGGAGTAAACCTCACTTTAAAATGCAGCCGACTCACGAATCAACACTCGGCTGTTTGGTCCCATTGCTTTGCGAACATTACGGAGAATCACCTTTGACTCCTCATCCGGCCAGTTATGAATGATGCTCCTTAACTTGATCGATTATTGAGCAGTCTACGCTGAATGGGAACAAACTTAGCACATACGTAGTAAACATCCTTTCCGACGACAGGTGACTCCTCCAGGAAATTCAGTGGCACGAACTCTATACGCCCGTCGAGCAGCATCTCGGGAGCATTCTTCTCCCATGTCTGATCAAATATGAATATAACTTGTCTGCTATAGATGTCCGGACTCACGTTTCTTGACAGCATTATGGTTTCTGGGAGTTCCTGATTGGTTATTCTGAGATGAGGGAACATTTTCGCCAGAGGAATAGACATTGCTCCGGTTCCAGATCCAACATCCACCACAGAGGATACGTTGTCCCAAGGGTAGTCTTATGACCCGCTTCAGTCATGCTGACGGTTAAAAATATGGTGATCACTCACAATGCAGCACCGCAGAAAAGTTTAGGATCTCAGAATAGCCCATCATGGCTTTGTGAAATATCTGTGTATAAGATTCTGTGAGCCGTCAGTCAGTCATGAGTTGATGGATCCGCACGCACATCGCGTGCCTCATCCTGTACAATATGGTAAGGCATGAAAGGCCAATACGATGACCAAAACTCACGTCCATATCCCAGAAGCCGTTCTTTTTGCCTTCCTTTCTGAGAGCAAATGCTCGTGGGGCTCTTTCAAGCTTGTCTGACCTTGCAAACTCTTGGTCGACCATCGTCTCATAGAGAACTGTAGCATATCTTGGGAATTCTCGCTGAATTTCTATAAAAAACCTGACGTTATTTGTTGCCTTGAGCACGAGGGAGAGTCGTGTGTTTGCAAATACGTCTCGCTTGACTATGGAAATCAAAGACCTCAGAGAGAACTATTAACCGACAATATGATGCATACTACCTTCTTTGAAGCAACCCCTGAGGGCCAAACCTCGCAACACGCGTGCGACCTTGGTCTTATCGAGGTTAACAGCGTCAGCCAACACATCCACGCTAAGACCTTCCGGGTGTCTGTCCAAGACGTCTGCAATACGTGATTGCACAGCGACGTCTATGCATGCCCAATTGTAATTGTTAACAAACTAGGAAAATGAGCAACGAGGCATACAGGGCCATCTATAATCGATACGTACATTATATACCGTGTGTTGAGGGGGAGCTAGTATTGTGTTCAATTGCTCACATGCACCTTCGAGCAGCCTGATTGCCTTTCTGAGGGCAAGTGTATCTGTCGCAAGATCGAGGGGGTGGAGGGTGTCTGCATCGACACTAGGGACTCCATGTTTAGTGCTCTTGTATTCCGCCATTGCTTTGCGTGCTGAGGAGTTGATGATGTCCAAGAGGGCTTCAACCTTGAGTTCATTTGGATCTGTCATTTTTGGGAGTGTGCGTGATTCCTCATCAGCCGTTCAACGTTCAGGTTTTATATTCCTCGACTGCTTACGTGGCGAATGCATTCAATTGCAATGGGTACTATGCAGTGTAAACCTAGTCTAGTCGACTTCTGATTCGGATGCATACTCGGTTGTTACTCGTGTAACGGTATCAGACTGGTAAAAGCACTTGGCACAACTCACCCGAACGGCATCCGTGCAAGTAGATAAGTAGATAAGCCAAGGTTCGATGCTGGCATTCGCACTAGTGCTCATGTTGCTATGACTTGTTTGGAAGTCCGATCATCGTCTGAACCTACTGCCGTTTCGCAAGCATCTGGTTTATGTTGACGGTCTCCGTGCATGATGATGACGGTCAGACTAATACTCCGCAAGTTGTGACTTGATAGACAAAAGCGACTAGGTGAATTTTTAAAATTCGGATCCATCGATATGAAGATAGCTGTAAACCCTGACACCATTTCAGGGACAGCTGACGCCACCTGCTGCAACCTCAAAGAAGCTGGCCTTGACAAGCTTGAAGCTTGAAGACCTGCTATCTATTCCATGTGGGATTAAGTATTACCGCATGCTCTTCAAACCACACTAATTTGAATCTCCCACTCCCAGGTCCCAACTCAGAAGTCGTTAAAGAATGTACGTGACATATTTCTTTATCCTGTCCAACCATTCTAAGATCCGCTACCAGACGTCCAACTATTCAAGCCCATCGAATACCACCTGCCAGATTTTTTCGATGGCACCCGGGTGAGTCGTCTACCTTTCTTGACCTGTTCTTCAATCTCAGTCCTCTACAGTGCATGGTACCCATACTCTTGCACATACATGCCGAGTGAATATCCGATTCCATGAGGGAAAAGCGCTGAGCTGATTCAAGAGCGCCTCATCTTTTGAGTTTTTGCAGAATCCGATGAAAGAGCAGCTGGATTGTGTGACCTGTATGGCATTTGGTCGTTACAACTCGCTGTCTGCGGAATCCACTTGATGCATGTGAAGGCTGAGTGGTCTGGACAAAGGCTGGAAAATAAGCTGTTATTACCTGAACTACTTGTTAAAATTTGAGTTCTTGAAGAGCATCAGTAGAACGGTGTACCCGAGCAGTCATAGCGGTAGGTGATGCTTAAACACCCCGATTGATCTGGATGATTCTGATTCCCTATCTCGTTGGGATGGAAAAGGTTGAATATATGTTTGATCGAGTCCTAGATATGAGTGCACTCGGTTTCTCAAAGCACACAAAAGTCATAGTACATATATGTTTCCAAATGCGCCAGACCTTTTCTAATCTAGACCGTAGGAGACAAAATAAAAGGAATCAAGGTTGGAGAAATGATTCTATTACTGCATATAGACGAGCGTACGACGTCTAATTCTGATGGGACGAAAGGAGACATTCAATTATTACAAAAAATTGAAGATATCTAAGTTAGACTGACATTCGAAGTGCTGACGCGGCATTGACGAGGTTTGACGCGGTATAGGTAGGTGTGGAAGTTAGCATTAGTACGGAAGCTGCAGGGATGTTGGGGAGAACTTGTCGTGGTGTAGGAGGTGCTTAACCCAGCCTGAGTGGGTTTGATATAGCACAGTTGGTGCTTGACATGGTAGTGCAGAGGCTGCATCGGACTGACTTGACGAGGTGAGGTCGAGGTTTGACACTGTCTGAAACCCAACATCAGATCACTATTAGAGGCAATGCAAGATAGATACAAGATGCACATTACTAATTGATACGTTTCGAGCCTCACAATCGATCCCGAGGTCGAGCGGAGCACTGCCCACCAGACCACGAAGACACGCTTGAATGTCGCCATTGTAGGTATCAGCAAACTCGCCCATGGCCACACCGCGCACCAGTTTGGGACTGCGAGAAATGAGCCCCTCTTGGTGAACTGTCGTATCTTCAAAGACATGCGTGCGTCACACTATATTGTCATGATATCCATAGTAACCACGCGCAGAGCATGTGACAAAGCGGGTTAGCAAATAGAGGTGTATACGGGCTGAGTACTCCTCATCCTGTTCCTCTTCGCCTTCCTCATATTCTGCTTCCACATCTTGGGTAGACTTAATGATAGCAGTTGCGATACGGTCACAATTCTGTTGACCAGCCGAACTTCCAAGACCTTGCAGATTTCGGAATACGACATCTAGTAACGGCATGTTCAGCAGCATCAGGTTCGAAATAGGCTTCTAGAAACATGTGAGATAGAGAGAGCCAAATTTCTCCCCGCCACCGAAGTAGTCCAAGAGATGTTGGAAGATACATCAGATCTGAGCGCTCAGTCTACACAGCAATTAAGCTGTGAAGCGGACACAGGATGACAAATTGAACGCACCTTAAATACGCTTGAACAAGCAGTGCCAACTTCCTCAACTTCAATCCTAACGCCCACTGTCGGCTGTTGATTTGAACACTCTGGACAGTACTTCTCGTCAGTGATACTCTAGGGTCTTCTGCAACATATCCAATACGCAACTCTGATATACACAGTGCCGAAGTCAGAGGACCAGATTCCTAAGCAGGTTGTCTGGTGAGCGATAGCTGAAGTGAAAGGAGATAGAGAGGTCGACTCACCAGGAATATCTACGATTGTCAGAAAACTCAAAGATGATGCCAGCGGGCTTCCCGGTTCTCCCGTATGGATCTGCGGCTATGCTCGAGACGTCCCTCCAGTCGATGAGGACTTCCCGGAGGAATATGAACCGAAATACGCCAGCATTCACACCAGCATTCACGCCCCGTCAGACGATACGAGGCCATACCGGCGCTGTACAAGGTATTGTGCACCTGCCCGGGGTACGACGGATCATAACATGTTCGTATGATGGCTCACTACGACTATGGGACTTGGAGAGCGGCACACAGATAGGCAAGGACTGGCGCGATGAGGAGGATAAAGAAGTAGCGATGTACGGCATGGCATTGTCTCCAAACGGCAAGACTGTTGTCAGCGGAAGTGGAAATGGGAAAGTGAAGTTGTGGGATGTCGCGACTGGAAAGGTCGTCGCGAAATGGATTGGGCACACTGAACGTGTGAACTCAGTGTATTGGAGTGCGGATGGTAAGCGAGTGTTGAGCGGATCCGAGGACGGGACAGCAAAAGTCTGGGATGTCAACACCGGAAAAACAATTTTGACGATCAAGACCGGGCACGAGAATGTGTACACGGCGATATACTCGCCCGATCACACACAAATTGGGACAAGAGGATACAACGAATATGCAGTCAAGATCTGGGATGTAAAGACGGGGGAACTGCTCTTCACACTCAAACATGATGTGTTAGTCAGCTTGGCCTGGACGTCAGATGGAAAGAAACTTATCTCCGGGGGACATCATGATGGCCTGATTAGGATAAATGACACAACCAATTAGGAGCAGATCGCCATTCTGAAGGGTCACATATACAGCCGGGTCATTGATGTCTTCATCTTGTTTCAGAACGACCGCCTCCTTGTGACTACAGCAGGGGATAACACAGTGTGTCTATGGAATCTCGACACAATCCTCCAAGTCGGTCCACGCCTCGTGCCGCCTAAGCATCCTAAGCATGTCGTTCAATTAATACACTGCGCAGCCCTTTCCGCTGATGGAAAAGTGCTGGTCATTGGTTGCCAGGACAAGAATGCATATGTATGGGACATTCACGCCATCCTCAAAGACAATGGCCTTGAGGACCTACTATCCATTCCTCATGTGAGTCCAGATACATCGTGCTTTTCGGATCACAATAATCTCTCACTTGCAGGTCCCAACTCAAAAGTCATTAAAGGACGTACGTGACGTATTTCTTCACCCTGTCCAACCATCTCAAGATCGAATCCTAGACTGATGCCACCAGACGTCCACCTATTGAGGCCCGTCGAATACCATCGATGACACCCAAGTGAGTCCTCTACCTTTTTTGACCAGCTCTTTTTATGACCTCTTCAGTCCTCTACAGCACGTGGTAGACATACACACTCTCCTGCGCACAATCATCGCAATTCTCACTCATCCTTATCTGCCATTCCACGTGCTCTTCTCGCGCGACTTTCATCATTCTTCCATCCCTCTCACTCCAATGCCGATGGAGAAACCGAACTCCGGCAACGCCCAAGGCGCTCCATCTTTTCTCGCGGTCCTCCTATCGTCGAAGTTCCTACAGTACCGGACAAACAGGTATTTTCTTCTCATCTATTTCTAATCACGGTGGTTTAATAATTTGTGTTCAGACATTATTTGTTGCTCCGCGGCCGTGGCCGCAGCAGCAAAGCCAGTCGTATGCCCAGGCCTCGTCGTCTCAATCTCAGCCTGCCGCGACCTCTAACACACCCGCTCAAGGTACTAGCACTGCCGCACCAAGTGCAGCAACCGCGCAGTCACGACCAATTCCATTGTGGGCTCGTTTGGTACTGTTTATCTGTTGCGCATCTCCACCGCGCGCCAATGGCCATTAATACAGGAGCAGCATATGTACAATCATTTTATCCTTCACATCTTCCATCAATCTTGTTTCCTCGTCGTGAGACTCGTGCAATCATGTTAACAGTCACGATAAAAACATAATACTCATTAATCATTCCCGAGCTTACAGTCCCGGCGTGTGACAGGTATGCAGAGCAGCAGCACGTGAATATAACACGAAGGATGGAGCTACCACTTTTCGGGTGACCCTGTCGTTGCGAAACCATTTCCTCGGATGTTGAGCTTCGCAATGGTACGTTTGAAAGTATCAGTATCTTGTTCCAACATTTTCGTCAGTGGTAGACCCAATAAATGCAACAATTAATCTAATTGAAATATGCCTTGGCATATGTCTTGATTCTTGTCAAGTCCATAAGCGCGTGCACCAACCACCACCCAATGTGCATGGAACCCTTCGCTAGTCTCGTTGAAACGCATATTCTCACAATATTTCCAGTGTCCTGACATCTACCATGCTGTAAACAGAGGCAACGTCTTTAACTTGTGATATGTGGTCTGACGCGAATCCGTTGTATTCTTCAGGATACCGCGCTGAAGGGGGCCCGGGTTGACTAAGGTTGACAATCAATCTAACGCTTACTCGATGAACCAGTCGCTATACTCCAGTATTGCGAGGAACGAAAGATGAGCCGCAAGGCTGTGGTCCATCCAGCCCATTATTGAAGCAGTAGATGCGCTTCCAAAGCTTAGAGTCTCGACGTGTGGCAGCTTCCCCGGTGCAACAGGGGGCGGATGATGTATTGGAGGCGGAATGAAGGGTATCGTTGTATTGCATGCAGTGAACTACCACTTGCTGAACTCAGATTTGATACCGGTTGTGCCAGAAAAAGGACGAAGGCCTTACCATCGTAAAGTAGCTCCCTCTGACTCGTTCTGTGTCGAACTTTAGATCAACGAGTTAAGCATCAGAGGGAACAGGGGATGTTTTCAGCCGTGACGTTCATCATGTGAGAATCGCACAGGGTCATGAAGTTGACATCTATGTCCGTCAAAAACCGTTGTTAGAATGAGGTTTCCAAAGAGTTCTATAGGTATGAGATACTCTATATACGAACAGACGTGGAGTCTTTCTTGGCTAACGAATGCAAATCTTGTTCTGTTCCAAGTTTTTTGTCAGTGGTAGACATCAAATAAACACAATAATGACTGACGCATGCCCCACACATGTGATCTCAGATCAAGGAATTCTTGTGCAAAGTCTGTAAGCTCATCCGCTGCTGTCCAAGCGCAACGACGTACCGATGTGCAACCCATCATACACTTTCTTAAGCTCTGCACGAACCCTCGATAGGTCGTCTTTACTTGCGGAGCTCTGAGCAAGCGCCTTCAAGTCCTTCTCCACCGCTTCGATACGACGAACGTGTGCAGTCACCTGCAGAAATCACAGATAACATAAACTGAATACTTTACATAAGCACGAAATCTCAAACCTTCTCCGTGCTCGCTTGTAGCTCCTCCACGCTGGCCTGCAGCGCCGCAGAAGCAAGTTTATACTCGTCCAAAAGATGGTACGCAGCAAACGCAGAAGCTAGCGAGAATCCAAACAGAAACCCGATTATTCTGCGGCAGCAACAAGGAGGAGTGAGATCATATGGCAAGGCGCGTGCAATATAATATTGCTTACCCTCCCCGAAAGCCTCCGACCGGTCTCTTCTGCGGCTGCACAGATCCTAGGTTGGGTGAAGTGGATGCCTCTTCCCGTAGCACTCTAGTCGTCGATAGAAACCGTGCACCTGAGCGCTGAGCAAATTTTGGGGTAAGAGCCAGACAACGCGAGGCCATGGTGGTGAGAGGAAGGATGTTGTTCGGCGTTAGCCGGTCAAGGTCGCGTTTGTGGCAACTCTACTGTGTTTCTTTCAGTTCAAAGATTCTGTATTCACCACATTCCGATCCTCCGTTTCTACCATTGCTGAATGAGTGCGTAAACCATATCTGGGACCTGTTCTCGAGGAAACAGTGCATAATCTAACATCAAGCACATGGTTCTAAAACGTAAGGCGGACGACGCGGAAGAAATGACATCTCGGGAACGGAAGAAACTCAAAGTTGCAGGCGCTCGGACAATTGCAGTCCAGCCATCTGTGTCAGCCAGTGGGAGTGGGACTGTTCAATCTTCAGGAAACGCGTCCGCTGGACCGTCAAGTACCACCGTTCGATTTGACTGTGAGCATCTTTCGCGTGTCGTTTCTTCACTTGTCATTTACCTGTAATAGCTATGCAGGGATTGCCCGCGTCAATCGATGTGGAAATGTTCACAGAGGTACGTGTTTGGACTGATTCCGGTTATATATCGTTTGATTGCGAAACACTAGGCTCGAGCGTATGAGATCGATGCCATGCAGAAAGCGATCAAAACAGCAGGGTTAGGAGCATGTGTCTCAATATACATAATTACTGATTTTCTGTCCTCAGGGAAAGCGTGACACATCGTGTATGGCAAACTCTTCCCCGCCATCTACGACGAAGGGCAGCTAGCCATGATGTTCGCCGTGTTCCCTTGCGTTTACGAGACAAAGCACGCGCCGAGGTGAGGCTCAAGCTACTCCCTCAGAAATCTTCCTTATTTTGCTTGCTAGATGGTTCCTGTCACCCGGCGCATACTCAAGCGTGGACGCTCTAAGCAGGGGAAAACAAAGCAAGTGAGCCGTACTGAATCCCTCTTGAAGCGACAACGTCAGTAAACATATGAATCCGCGTGCTCCTCGTCTTACGATGTGTTTTGCAGGCGATAAGGCCTGGCTTGAGACTCATATTTGGCACGCCAAGCGGATGAAGATGGAAAACATGTGGGGGTATAGACTCGTTAGTATCTAGTTGTGTCTGCAGGCTCCTTCTGAATCCTTGTTTAGGCAGTAACACCGACCGAGAAATCATTCCGTCCTTCACATCGAGCCTCTATGCATGGCTCAATCCTGCACGATTCGTCGTACCACTCACTGATAGAGCTGAAAGGGCCTGAAAACATCCTTCGAAATGTGCTGGATCTTTGCTGTGATCCTCAGTGCACCGGAATGAAGCGGTCAGCCTGTGAGGTAGAAGGGAAAACATGCACTAATGATTCATTAGATCCATGACCGGTGCTCGCGTGCTCGAGACAGACCTATACAAATCAGGAAGCTACCCCTTTGACTTGATCGCACCAGTAACGATCATGTGGCGGCCATTACCCGTTGGAAACACGTTGGCACCGGCGAACGCGTCCCCAGCGGAAGGCTCCTCTAAACGCAGGCGCAAAAGAAAGAACAACACACCGGTCAACGCAGTTCCACAGAGTCCCACGAGAGTAATCTGGGTGCGTTCGCACCCTGCGGTGTTCGACGCCATCTTCGCAGCGTTACAGAAATCTGCTTCCTTGGTCCTTGAAGCTGAAAAACAGCGACATAAAGACGTGTATGCAGAGGTAGAGATAGTCGATTTGCGAGGCAGCCTAAATGCTTTCGAAATCATGGGGCCCAAAGCAAGTCAGGTCATCAAGGGCGCCTTATCTGTAGTTGCGGATGACGATAGGCAAGAATTCAAAAAGGTTCTCTCGTCCTTTACTTGACTTCCTTATAAAATCTGACAACGCAGACAGTTCTGGCCGTCCCTGACTGATCTGCAGACCACTGCGTCCTTACCACGCGGAATAGTCATCGGGATGAAAGTTCTTGACCCACGACTGAAGTAGGTATCTCTGGCTCCTTGACTTGTCCATATGAGTAACTTTTTACCCAGGTTTCCGCCTAAGAACGCCAAACTCAGAATGGACGGTCAACACCCCGCTACCCCGGCAATGACGTTCCCCGCAGCCATTCTTGCTCAAAGCGAAATTTGGGATGAAGAGAAGCGTTCAGCATTGAAAAAGCCTACATACAAGAAGAAAGACCTTGATGCGCGCCGCTCAAAGGTAAGCCCTTCATTGGCCCTCGTAATGAGGTGCAATAAGTAACTTGCACGCAAAGAATCTTGTTCCAGGCACGCCTCTTAGTCCGCTTCGCCAGGACGATCGTATCCCACTGTTGCTCATACAGCGCTCGCTTGAATCGCCCTCTAGCACTCATGGTATCCACGGCTGGATGCTTGTTGTTCCCGTTGGGTGGGGCATGCCTTTCCTCCCCTCACTGGTACACACTGGTACACGCGTCGGCGGACAGCGAGAGCGAGGCTCACAAGCCTTTGAGGCAGGCACTGCGTATTTTCCGAGAGATTTTCCTTGTACAGAGTTCTACGACAAACATTGGGACGAGCGCGCCGTTAAGGAGAAAGCGAAGTGGACCAGGACGCCACCAGCGAAGAGGGCCAATTTTAAGAAGCTTGGTACCCGTAGCCCATGGCGGGCGGATTGGGAAGTTGTGCTTGGGCTTCCAGTGGCGTCTGGCGTAGATGAGAACCTGGTGCCGGCACAAAGAGAGCCTCAGGATGCGATGGAAGTTGACAAAGCACCGAACGTTCGCCCGTGGTTGCTCCGTGGTCCCGAAGTGCCGACTATGCTAGCAAAAGTGACTCAGATTTTTAATCATGGCGCAGGGCTCCTTGCAGAGATCAACAGGCTTCGGACGAAACGTGGTATGGATGTACTCGATGCAAGTTATCGCCCCGAGGATCTCCTGAAAGGGGCATTGGTCATGGTCCGTCTGAAGATGGTCAGTCGGGGCGCTCCGAACGACCTCGCCATTATCTACCGCATTGATGACGACGAAGCCAGGAAGATCATCAAGGAGAACGGCAAGATGCGAGAGGGTGCGGATGCGAATGAGGTTTGTCGCTTTTTCCCTTCGATCATGTATGCGCAGATTGATACGCTCCCTTAGCCCGCTGAGGCTGCTCCTCCCCAGACGTCTATCATTGGGTATGTCACTACCGGCAATATGTCCTTGTCCCGCGGAGAAGGTTTCGCCATCGGCGCTATCCCAGTGTCAGTGCTGTTGGAGTTGCGACAGCAAGCACAGAGGTATGGATTCCTCGCTCGTGGGAAGCCTCAATTGATGTGGCTACAGGAATGAAGAGTCCCATCCGTTGGTCAAAATTCGCGATCGTGCTGGGATGGTTTGTCGCGCTGCATATCTTGAGCTACTTGACTCATGATTAGTACTTTGTATCTGTTGTTACATGGGTTTCTTCGACTGCATTCTGTGCATCAATTGGAGGCAATGCATGACACTACGTAGGGCTTATGAATTGGAAATTTCGTTGAGTATCAACAATATCGTTCCATTTTTGTACCCACTGGCAGGTCCTTCGTTATTAATATTGATGCAAGGCCTCCATGAAATCTTCAAATACAAATATCGGTGCTACGATATGAAATGGCAGCCAGCCCAACAGCGTACCAATGCGTAGATATAACTGTGCATCAATAAGGTAAAAATGAAGCAAAATGCGCGGGTATCTGAACAAAGTGCACAATGAAATTGAGTTAATTTAAACCCAAATACGCGTCCAAAGCCATCACGGAAGATTGTTATCCTTTTTGAACCACTGTACGGGAAGAAAGAACAATCAATCACGCTGAATCAAAAACTAACAGCCGACACTTACCTCCACCATTCTTCTGACACCCTCCTCCAGCCCGACCTCGGGTTCATACCCGAGTACACGCCTTGCTTTCTCGATATTGTGGTACCTCGTAGCACAGCTATACCCAACCCTATATCGCGTGAACCCAGCCTCTTTCCCGATCAAGGACGCCCAGCACTCCGCAAGGAAGCCCAGCACCATTCCAAAGCTCCTAGGTATCACCCACACAGGCCTCTGTGCCCGTTCCGATGCGCCCGATGCCGACTTTGATGAAGGCGGGTCGAGCGCAAGCCATATAAGGCGCATGAAATCCCAAAAGTACACTGGCTCGCCATTCGTGATGAAAAACACCTGCCCTGCAACCTGCAGCGGCGAGGTCTCTGCAACATCAATGGCATTATCGGAAAACTGGTCGAATCGGGAGCGTATGATAGGGTGCGCGGGAGTGTGCGGATCGCGTGGAGCGGTGAACGCTGCCTCTATTTGGGCGGCGTTAGGCGGCAGCGTGACGTATGGCCCTAGAGGGCGTGCTTCGCACGTTGGGACTCGCTTTGCTCCGACTGTTGCGCTGACAGGCTGGAGGGCGCGGTCAAGGTGAAGTTTGGCTTTAAGAGAGTCGATAGTAAGGGTCTCGTGTGAGGATGTAGGAAGTGGGGGAGAGGACAGCTTATCGGCGGCAATTAGATGTGCTTTAGCGAGATTACCGACGTAGGTGTAATCGAAAAGATTATTGTTGTCTCCGACTTGGAAGTGAGTTTGTCCACGTTGGTAGGCTTGGTAGAGGCCCACCATCATTTGGCGGTCACCCTCACTAGAGAGCATCACGTTGTATCAATGTTCATTTTTCGTTGGTTGATATGAAGAAGTGACATACCCAAAAATGCCTGCAGGCCGTAAAGCAACAGTCAGTAGGCCACCTTTGCCATTGGCCTCGAGTATGAGTTTCTCTCCCTGTGCTTTTGAATCATTATATGCATCAAATGGCTTCTCCGGGAATGGAGCACGTTCGTCGAGGTTGACAACGTCACCGCCATCAAAAACGACACCAGCACTGCTTGTGTATACTAGCTTTGTCACACCAGCAGCCTGCGCTGCGCTGATGACAGCTTTGCAGCCATCGACATTGACTTTATAATATATGCTTGGATCTTTGGCACCGTGTGGTGGTGAAGCGGTGTGGATTATACAAGTCGTACCAGTCTGCAGTCATTCCAGCAGCAAACAGACGTACACCGCACAGAGAAGGAAATGAGTTAGCGCTCAGTGGCCATAAGAATGAGTAATGTAGTGCACCTTGCTCAATACATCAAGCAGTTGGGATTCGTCCGTGATATCACCAGAATAAAAGTCAACATCGTGATGTCGCTGGACGATGTCGAATACACAGACGATGTCCCCACGAGCTAGAAGCTGTTCGACGATGTGACGGCCAACAAAGCCGCTACCTCCAATGACAAGGTAAACCTCTTTTCGTTGTGACATGAAGGATAGATGTGAGAGAGAGGTCTATGTAAGTGATGGGCCCTGAGTTGCACTTCTGTATGTACTCAAGTTCGAAAAGTTGCCACCTGTTACCGAACGGACCTGTGGACGTGGTCCATGGACATACGCGACCACGTGCTTCTTCTATCTGTGTGTTTGTCCACTTTGAATCCACTTTAGAACGTTACGGCGTTGTGAATTCTAGCTTTGTGCTTGTCCATCTCTGTTCTGATCGTCGAAGCTAGTGAAGATGTACATCCCAGACACATCCCGCAAATACACTCCAGAGGAAAAACAACAGCTGCTCCAGAATCTTGACATTGAAGGTGCACCAGCCTGTTTCGCATTATCTCACCTTTGCTTCACTGAATTTTCTGCCTCTACCTTTCTGCACAGTCGAACACCGTGTTCGCCAGCTTGAGGAATGGCTCACAGACGCGCTCAAAAACTTTCGGCTTCACCAAGAAGGGCTCATCTCTCGCATTCCCAAACTCGTGCGCGGTGTGACCATGGGCGAGTTTGCTGATACCTACGATGGCGATGTTCAAGCGTGTCTTCGTGGTCTCGTGGGTGGTGCTCCACCCAATCTAGAGATTGATCGTGAAACTCGCAAGCGCAAGTGGGAGGAGGCTAGTGAAGGCGAGCGCGCCGTTAAGAATGGTACGTGGGCAATTTAGCATCAGTCTTTTCATTGACACACCTCTCATTCAGCGAGGATGATGCATGTCACTCCCAAGAAGAAGCCCCCTCCTACTAACACGGGCACTGCACAACGCGTCCGCACAGTATCTGCGGCATTCCCGCGTACCCCCGGCCAATTCCGTTCTACCCTCCGCTTGCCCTCCGTCAGTCCACAGAAACCGTCTACCCTCCGAACATCTCCCTCTAAATTGCGTGCTCCATCGCCTTTCAAAGCTCCGTCTTCTCCTGGAAAATCGATGCCATGGAATGCCAAGCCACCATCACAAGCAAAGCGCCCGCCCACCAGCGCAACCTTCGCTCCAACTTTGCCTGCTAAGACCCCCACTTATCCCACCCTCCGTGCACCCCGCCGCGACGAAAGCATGCTTAGTCTAAACGGGTCTCCGCTAGCCAACCCGTATAAGCTCGGCTTGGAGTGGTTCGCTGCTGAAGAGGAAGAGGAGGGTTCTGACATGGATGTGAAAACCAAAGGCAAAGGAAAGGAGACGCAGGTAAATATGCAAGGGCAAGGCAAGACTCTACGACGCGTAAATAGCATAGTCATACGACGTGATCCATCCGTCTCGCTCGTCCCCTCATCCTCCACCCAACCCACCTTCTCACAAACCCATTCACAAGCCAACTCTCAAACTCAAAACCATAACCGCACGCATTCACGCGCCAACTCACGCACAGTAGCTCGTGTACCGGAGCCACCAGCGTCTAAACCCGCCACGTCTTCTCTCATGCCTTCAAGCTCGCTCTCGTCCCTCCCTTCCTCGTCCTCTGCCCGGGCGGTCGTCGCGATCTCAACCTCCGATGGACACGTCCTCGAGTTCGACCCGCTACAAACATCGCCGCGCGCACTCGATGCACTCGTAGGTATCACTGACAGCGCAAAGAAGCAAGCCCGTGAGGATATGGGGCGCTTGGTGCAGGCTGCGGTGAGTAAGTGGAGTATCGCATAACACGGCTAAGCAGGCGTCTGCTTTACACATCGCGCGGGCCCACGTTAGGCGTCCCACCAATTTGCGACGTTGTGTCACAATATAGTATCATGTATAGATTCTCGATTTTCGATTCTTTATTGACCTCGCTAACGCACCTGTTGAACACCCGACATTCCATCGCATGTTCCAGTTATTTATTTCGCATACCAAGCATCGATGTAAAGATGTAGCGCTAGCGTATATACCTATGGACACTATTTATGTCGAGGGAAAAATCGACGTTATTTTGAAAACTTGAGTGGATGCTTGGTTTGTGTGGCTCTGAGTCTGACAGATCTAGCTGGAGATGCTTAGTGCCAAGAGGTGTGCGATGGAGAAGTTGTTTGAACATGATCTGTACATAAGAATTTGTTAGTGTCGCGTCAATTTCACATGGCCCGTGTTGAATGTAACGAGACGTCTATTTAGATTCAGATTTATTTTTCACCCACACCTCGGAGTCTCGGAAACTTCGCAAGTCAGGTTTTAGTATACTTTACGACTTGGATTAGTATCAGCTCGGATTATACCCAAGTTCAGGATTAGTTTTACCTCTGGCTAAAAAGTCGTTTCCGCAGTGAGTGTGGTGTTTTTAACAATTAGTATGGGTAGCTGACTTATGACACGGACATACACCTCACAGGGTGCATGACATCCTCTTGCTGACTATAGTATGCACGCTGCAAATGCCAGCATCATCATGATACTTGCCTGAACCTTGCCTTGTCTAGTTGCTTCAAGTAACACGGATGTCGTTCAGGATAGACATGCCGTGTGTTCTTACCGATCTGATACCGTTACGCGAGTAACAACCAGTGTTATCCGAGTCAGAAGTTAGGTTTTGTGAGTGGTCAGACTATGTTTAGCTTCGATCTTTTTCCACATACCCAATGTTGAATGTCTTTGCCGCGGAATCCAGCTAGATGATATTTGGTCAAGGAATATAAAACCTGAACGGCTGATGAGGAATCACGCACACTCTCAAAAAATGACGGAGCCAAATGAACTCAAGGTTGAAGCCCTCTTGGACATCATCAACTCCTCAGCACGCAAAGCAATGGCGGAATACAATAACACTGGACATGGAGTCCCTGGTGTCGATGCAGGCACCCTCCACCCCCTCGATCTTGCGACAGATACACTTGCCCTCAGAAAGGCAATCAGGCTGCTCGAAGGTGCATGCGAGCAATTGAACACGATATTAGCTCCCCCCCAACACACGGTGCATAATGTAAGTGCCGATTATAGATGGCCATGTATGCCTTGTTATTCATCTTCCTAGTATGTTAATAATTACAATTGGGCATGCATAGACGTCGCTGTGCAATCACGCATTGCAGACGTCTTGGACAAACACCCGGAAGGTCTTAGCGTGGATGTGTTGGCTGACGTAGTCGACCTCGATAAGACCAAGATCGCACGCGTGTTGCGCGTTTTGGCCCTCAGGGGCTGCTTCAAAGAGGGTAATATGCATTATACTGTCAGTTAATAGTTCTCTCTGAAGCCTTTGGTGTTCCATAGTTAAGCGAGACGTATTCGCAAACACACGACTCTCCCTCATGCTCAAGGCACCAAACAACGTCGGGTTTTATATAAAAACTCAGCGAGAATTCCCAAAATATGCTGCAGTTCTCTATGAGACTATGGTCGACCAAGAGTTTGCAAGGTCGGACAAGCTTGAAAAAGCCCCACGAGTATTTACTCTCGGAAAGGAATGCAAAAACAACAGCTTCTGGGAGATGGACGTGAGTTTTAGTCATCATACTGGCCTTTCATGTCTTACAATATTGCACAGGATGAGGCACGCGATGTGCGTGCGGATCCATCAGCTCATGACTGACTGGCGGCTCACAGAATCTTATACACAGATATTTCACAAAGCCATGATGGGCTATTCTGAGATCCAAGGCTTGTCTGCGGTGCCGCATCGTGAGTGATCACTATTTTTTCAACCGTCAGCATGACTGAAGCGGCCCATAAGATTACCCTTGGGACAACGTATCCTCTATGGTGGATGTTGGATCTGGAACCGGATCAATGTCTATTCCTCTGGCGAAATTGTTCCCTCATCTCAGAATAACCAATCAGGATCTCCCAGAAACTATGAAGCTGTCAAGAAATGTGAGTCCGGAAATCCACAGCAGACAAGTTATATTCATATTTGATCAGACATGGGAGACAAATGCTCCTGAGATACTGCTCGACGGGCGTGTGGAGTTCGTGCCATTCAATTTCTTGGAGGAGTCGCCCGTCGTCGGAAAGGATGTTTACTACGTAAGTGCTAATTTTATTCCCATTCAATGCGGACTGCTCAATAATCGATAAAGTTAAGGAGCATCATTCATAGCTGGCCGGACGAGGAGTCGAGGGTGATTCTCCGTAATGTTCGCAAAGCGATGGGACCAAACAGCAGAGTGTTGATTCGTGAGTCAGCTGCATTTTAAAGTGGGGTTTGCTTCAGACTCAATATCATGTGATAGATGAGTGCGTGCTCTCGCGCCCATTCGAAGAGCCTGACGTAGGGGTTAACGAGTCTAATGAGGTAAGTTTAGAGTGTAGCTTGATGGCTGAAAGGTAATCATACATTCAGGACCATAAGGCGCCCGAACCTACATTACTGAACTTCGGTAGTCACACAACACACCAAATAGACATGATCATGTGGCTTGTCGTCAATGGCAAGGAGCGAACCTTGAAGGAATTCATGGACATTGGGCAAGTTCCTTCCATACCTGGATACATTGACGATGTTTGATTTGTTATAATTTGCAGGGCCAGTGCTGGTCTAGTGCTCACCCAAACCTATGATCTTGTAGGGACGATGCTCTTGGAGTTCAGAATCGCTCAGGACTGATGCCGAACACCTTCTGCGATCTTCTGTTATTGTACTTTTACCCTCCTCAGTTGATCATCCCATAATTTAATCAAGACAACAACGATTCTTAAACGACATCCATCCCATGAACCAGACACCGATCTATGCGAATGCAACGTGTAACAAATGCGTAAAAGTCCTTCGCTGCGGATGCATGTCTTTCACGATTCAGAAGCTTCGTCGTCCCTTTGTGATGTGTTCCATTCCTCCACTATATGACCCAGGTCGGTGTGCAAGTCCTTCATTGAGGATATTGCAGCGTCAATTTCAGCCTGAGCTATACCAGCATTCACATGGAACGCTTGTCTTTGCTGCAGATTGACCAAAGCTCTATGCACCTTTGCAGCGAGATCTGCGAACCACTCCCTCGGAACACGATCATCCAAGGTTGTCAAATGCAGTCTCGTCACTTTCACGAGGGCTTGTATTCCATCGACGTAGGGGTCGTCTCGTGAGGCATATTGCGCTGTGTCCCATGCGTCTGCGATGGGTAATTGCTGCCTCTCCTCAGCAGGACTGAAAGAAAGACCCTTGCCCAAGGACTTGACGCGCTCAAAGATCACGAGAAGGCAGGATCCGACCCGCAAATAATCCTCGCGACAGATACCGTTAACCAGAGAAATGCACCATTCGAGATGACCATCACTCAGACCTTGACACCACCCGTCTTTCTCTGTCAGGGCATAGATGAGGCGGATGTAAAAAAAGTCTCGATCTTTGTGAAAAGAGCCGTCGGGTCTAGTGTCGGGGATTGTCTGGTAGTCATTTGGACATACAGCAGTCAAAAGAGCCGAATAAAGCCCATCCAGGAGTTGCGCATCAACGCCCTGTGGCATCGAGGCGCTTGTCATAGAAGCTAGTTCTTCTCGAGCTTCAAATACGGCTCTAAGTGCCGTATGCCGGACTCGAGGAGATTTGGAGTGCATACAGCGGATAAGCGAGTTGATGTAGGACGGTCGTTTGGCGGGGCTCCCTAATCTACGCATGGCGCTTAGTGCAAGCAAAGCGTCGCCTTCTGTTTCATCATCTAGTGTTCGTCTCCTCCTTCAGGTAATCAACAAGCCAATCAAATTCTTCACAGCTAGGCTCACGCCCATCGCTGTGACGCCAGCGCAGATCACCATACCAAATCAAGTGTTCATCATCTGGACGTGAAAGTTCATTGCGCGTTCCGTGGACAAGCATTGTTCTTAGCGCAGTACGTGCACTAGCCCGATGCTTCTTCCGTTGGCGAGCAAGGTCTTCCTGTGAACTCTTGAGCTGCTTATAGGCGGTACATCCAGCCATGAACGCATCGCGAATGAAACGACTTCGGGCTGGGTTAAATTTGTCATCCCAAAGAAATCCCAGAAGTTCCTTGTCGATTTTCACCGGCTGAATGCAAAGATGGGCCATGGCTTTGCCATACTTCACATATAGCTCCGGTCTGTTACGACACGCTACGAAATTATCACGTAAACGTGCGAAGGCTGCTGAAGCATCAATGTTCGGGGGCCATTGCACGCAAGGTACAATCGTAGCCGCAGCCTCGACAATTTCAGGGTTCGTTGATGTCTCCAGTATCCAGCGAATCGCGGACGATTTGGCGAGTGTGCGACGAATCGATGTAGATTTGCCTGGATAAATCTTTTGGCAGATGGTTGCCAATAGCTCCGAGGCTGGTGTCCTGAAAGGACTGTCCGGACGCAACACCGACACGAGAAAAGTGCCCACATAGAACAGAATACCGAAAGCTGTGGTGCAGATAATGACGCTGGATATAGTGGTTTGCTGGGCCCACATGTTGGCGCTTAGCGAAAGGCCGAAGAGCAGGAGCGAAATCTGGAGCAGCACCAGGAATATCCCCAAGATGGTCTGCAGGCGGAAATATTCTAGCCCATCTAGCTTCATCTGCCTCTCTATGCCACGCTCTTCGAGAGACCCTCGTCCTTGAACTGATTTATAGGAGTTCAGCCATTGCTTGCCTAAGACAGCCCCGAACGCAGCCAAGACGCTGAATGCAAGGCTAGCGTAGGCAAGTGCTTGCGTCCAGACCGTCGAAGAGGAAAATCCCGTAGACGAGGAAAGAGTGCTGATGTCAGGTACGGAATTTGGGCCATTAGCAATTATCTGTATTAGTTGGAGGACGAGGGCATTGGTAGTGTCCCCTGGATCAGGCTGCATTCCGACGATAAAGGTAGAGTTGACCGCTGAGAACAGACCAGCCTAATACGCCTGTGAGACTTACATTGACATACGTAGAAAGAAACGCACAAAAGTCAGAATGATGCCCATATCGTCATTGGCCCGATCGAGGAAGTCGTCGTCGTGCTCAGTCGAAACTTTCTTGTACGTCGCCCAAAACTTCGAATTGTCATCTTTTCCGCGTTCTTCTGCGATAGTTGATTCTTTAAGAACATCGAGAATCTGTGCCAGCGTATCTGACCTTTGAGAAAATATGGTCAGACGTCAAGTGTACCGTGCTGATGAGTTGGCACTCACATCTTAGCAAGGTTTCCTTCGATGGACGGATTCTCGATCCCATTGTCCGTGGTCTGCTCCAGAGTGCTTGATCTTTGAGATATTGAAAGTCAGTCATCAAATATACCATGCTGATTGTACGACATTCACTTAGTTTTATCAAGGTCGGTCTCAATGGACATGGCAGCTTCCTCAATCACCGCATTCGCATCGATCGGACTCCTGTGTGTCCATAAGCTTATAATCAACTCAGTTTAACTCGCCACTTACTCGTTGGTCAGGAGGTCACCATCCGCAGGTGCGGGACTGGATATCGAGCACGTGTTATGCATCATTAGTGCTGTAGTGGACACAGGCGGATCAAGGAAGGGAAGAATGGGAAAAACAATTTGAGCGCGACTACCAACGTTTTTACTGCGAGTGAACCTTCTATACAACGTGAAAAAAGCATGTTCTTGCACAAAGCCTCGTGGTTGTTGGCCCCGGGAACAGGAGATCCCGTGGAATGGAACATGACCTTCACTTAGACCCTATGTGACGGCATCAGTGGGCCAGCCAGGCGCTTATGTTCGTATCATATGGTTGTTGGTCCCTCCTGCTCGACGCTGGTATTGACCGCCGGAGCATGTCCATCCTTGAGCAGACCGGAACCGCTATGGCGCATAAGAGGACTGGTGAGAAAGTTGTATTGCGTATGCCATTACATGCTGGCAGAGCATGTCTTTTATTTTCATCGCTAAAAGCAATATATAAAGTCATATTGCGACGACAAGGCCCTGCAATCAACGTAATGCAGCCTGAAAAACTCGTCGGTTCTCTGATGCCATAACACACTGTGACAATGAGTGAGACGAACAGGAATGGATATCTTGTGCAGACTCACATTGTAATATATACTTCAGTGGTGGATTTTCATATGCATCTCAAAATCCAGAAAGCCGAAGTCTGAAATCTGAAGCTTTGAAGGACTCGGGGTGTTGGAATGCACCACAGATTATAATTAGGCTTTAGTGCTGCAGTTCAAAACAAACAAGCCGAGTGTTATTAGTTAGTAAGCGGTAGTAGTATAATTTCAAACCCCGCATTATGCAAAGCTTGCAAAGCGAGGGTGCGCTGCCACACGGCCTTCAAGAGTTCATTTGCCCGAGTCTTCGATGACATCCGGGCTACTTAAGCACCCTGGCACTACTCAATAACCAGACGATAAACTGCCGACATTGCTGACAAGCCCCCCAACTGGCTACCATCAGAGATTGACCCGTGTCACCACGCTGCAAGAAGACATTGCCTATTCACTGTTTGGCGTCTTTGGCATCCTACCTATCAATGGTTTTTGGTAAAATGCCCTCCCCGTTGCGCATCGCAGGCTTCAATTGCATTACACCACATTCTCAGTCATCGAAACAGACTGGTATGATAAAGACCAGGAGATATAGCTCACATATGACGACAAAACAGGCTGGCGCCGTGATCTGCTGATCACCATGGAAGACAAGTTGATTCAGTTCTCGGGGACAAGGCGTACTCGGTGAACATCCATAATTGTTCGTTCGTTCGTAGAATCGTTCTCTCCTCGAGCTGCCTGACTCTCCAGACGATACGCCGAGTGTGGTAGACTGGTCTGTGGCCAGGTCTTCATTATCCAATTTCTCCGGGTCTCGGTCGGAAAGATTGCGTTGTCTCCTAGTAGTTGCGAAGCGAAGATGTAGACGGGGAATGGATTGTGTACCAAACCAAACCATCATCCGTGCTAGGTTCCAGGCTTCCATCCTCTTAATTGATCATACAATGTTTTTCTCGTAACGGTTGGCGTTGTCGAGTTCGATGCATTACTCGAGTCTTACGACAAGGAAACAATGTTAATGTACGTGGTTGCGAAATGATATGAAGAAATATAAGAGTACAAAAGATCCAGAAACTAGTATTGTACCTGTATTGATCACCATTGGCGTGTGGGGGAGTTGCACGGCAAAAAAAAGAGAACGAAACGAGTCTGCAATGGAACCATGACTGGCTCTCTACCACCGACAAAAATGTTGGAACAAAATACTCATGCTTTTCAAACATCGTTGCGAAGTTTGACATAGAACAAGTCCAAGCAAATAGTTTCGCAACGACAGGGCCACCCAAAAAGTGGTAGCTCCGTCCTTCATTTTATATTCAGGTGCTGCTGCTCTGCATACCTGTTGCACGCCAGGATTCTAAGCTTGGACACGGGTATGTCGTTTTTTGTCGCGACTGTTAGCATGATTAGACGAGTCTCACGACGAGGAAATGGGATTGTCGGAAGAGCAGAAGACGTAAAGAGTAATATGATTGTACATGTGCTGCTCCTATATTAATGACCATTGGCGTGCGGGGGAGATGCGCAGCAGAGAAACAAAACAAAACGAGCCCACAATGGGATGGGTGGTGACTGCGCGGTTACTGCACCTGGTGCGAAAGTGCTAGTACCTTGAGCAGGTGTGGTGATGGGCTGAGATTGCGACGACGAGCCCTGGGCGTGCGACGGGCTTTGCTGCTGCGGCCGCGGTCGCGGAGCAACATATAATGCCTAACAGCAACTATTGAACCGCCGGTGATTAGAAATAGATGGAAAGAAAATACCTTTTTGTCCGGCACTGTAGCAACTTCGACGATACGAGGACCGCGAGAAAAGATGGAGCGCCTTGGGCGTTACTGAAGTTCAGTTGCTCCATCGGCATCGGAATGAGAGTGGTGGAAGAACGACGACAGGTGTTCGAGAATGGTACGTGGAATGGCAGAAAAGGATGGGTGAGGACTGCGAGGATTGTGCGCAGGAGAGAGAGTATGGGTACCACGTGCTGTGGAGGACTGAGAGAGATCAGAAAAAGAGCTGGTCAAAGAATGCAGACGACTCACCTGGGTGCCGTCGAAAAAGCCTGGTGGTATTCGACGGGCCTGAATAGGTGGACGTCTGGTAGCACCAGCCTAGAATTCGATCTTAAAAGGGTTGGACAGGGTAAAGAAATACGTCACGTACGTCTTTCAACGACTTTTGAGTTGGAACCTGCAAGTGAGAGATTAGTGTGGTTCGAAAAGCACGATGTATCTGGACTCACATTAGGAATGGATAGTAGGTCCTCAAGACCAGCTTCTTTAAGGATGGCGTGAATGTCCCATACGTATGCATTTTCGTCCTTGCTACCGGTGACCAACAGTTTTCCATCAAGGGAAAGGGCTGCGCAGTTTATGCCACCTTCAAGTTTGTGCTGCAGGAGGGGTGGACCGATTGGGAGGTTTGTGTCGAGATTCCAGAGACGCACTGACACTGTTGTCCCATGATGCACTCACAAGGAGGCGGTCGTTCTGAAATAAGGTGATGACGTCGATCCAGGTTGTTTGACCCTCCAGAATGGTGATCTGCTCCCAAGTGGCTGTGTCATATATCCTAGTCGGGTTAGATGACGCGGAGATAAGTTTCTTTCCATCTGACGTCCAGGCCAAGCTGGTAACTGTCAAATCATGTTTGAGTGTGGCCAGCAGTTTGCCCGTCTTTGCATCCCAGATTTTGACTGCATTCTCTTCATATCCTGCTGTCCCAATTTGTGTGTGATCGGGCGAGTATATCGCCGCCCACACATGCTCGTGCCCGGTCTTGATTGTCAGGATTGTTTTTCCGGTCTTGACATCCCAGACTCTTGCTGTCCCGTCCCAGGATCCGCTTAGCACTCGCTTACCATCCGCACTCCAACACAGTGACGTCACCAATTGAGTGTGCCCTGTCCATCTTGCGACCACACTTCCTGTCTCGACATTCCACAACTTCACTTTCCCATCTCTACTTCCGCTGACAATAGTCTTGCCGTTTGGTGACAATGCCATGCTGTCTAACCCTGCTTCCTCATGCTCCTCATCTCGCCAGTCCTCGCCTATCTGTGCGCCGCTCTCCAAGTCCCATAATCGTAGTGACCCATCGAACGAACATGTCATGATCTGTCGTCCGCCGGGCAGGTGCACAACACCTTGTACATCGCCGGTATGGCCTCGCATCGTCTGACGGGGCCTCATTGCCCGAGTCTGTTGCTTCTTGGTCGGGAAAGACATGATCGGCACGGGGTCTCGAGTATACCAGATCTACTATGCAAGAGAAGCCCGCCAAGATCTTCGAATCAAAACGAGTTGTCTGGCAACGGTAAATGTTCCTGGTAAGTTGGTCTGCCTATCGTCTTCAACTTTAGCTCTTGCTAATATAAACTCGCTCACAAGACACCCTGCTTATGGGAATCTGGTCCTCCGACTTCGGCACTGTGTATATCAGAGTTGCGTATTGGAAAATGCACCGGGATCTTA